AATATTTATATTTACCAGTCAACAGTTAGAAAATGTTCTCTGGTTATAGGATGAAACTTGTCTCTATTAGCTAACCATCTACTTAACAGGTCAGGTTCCTCTAACAGAAACCTAAAAGTACTCACATTTACAATATTATTTTACACTCTGTAGGTCTAAATATTAATCAGAGGACAAAGTAATATTTAATAGTTTGTTAAATTGTAGCATGATTCAATATTTATTTTATAAATATTTATTTTATTTTATAAATATATATGAACAAAACACACACACACACAATACAAATATATAATATACAAAAATGCTGTGCGTCTCCTGGGGGCTAAGCCCCCCTTGTCCTTAAAACCTAGTGACACCCCTGCTAACCAGTCAGAAACTGGAGTCTAAATAAGAAGCAGAAAATAATTACAAGTAGAAAAATGAGAGTAAACACAGAAAGAGTGTCAAATTAAAAATAAAATAAAAAACAGAGAAAAAATCAGCAATGAGACAAAAAGAAGATTCTTTTAAATGCCACTAATTCATCTGTTGGCTCAATCATGCAACCGGCCAACATTTCTCCACTCGTTTGCTCACTTCTGTGTAGAACAAGTGATTAATAAAATAAACTCTGCCAGGTACTAAGTGCTTCCTACGTAGCTCATATTGGACAGAGTTGCATCAGCTTTAAAAGGCTCTTTGTAAGTATGTGTCCAAACTGTCCATCCTCGCATAAAAAACTCTGCCCATCTACCCTGTTTGTCCTCGCTCCATCTGGTTTGTCCTCTCTGTGCTTGATTAAAGATTAGCGAGAATGCAAGTTGACATGCTTCACTATACTTTCCATCAGGACACAAATGGACCCCGGGATCAAAGTGAGTCACCTGTGTGAAGGGCAGCTCTGACAGCAGCACCCTGTTCCTGCCGCACCGCCTCCTCTGGAGATATCCCACTCGATTAAAGCACAAACTCAAGAGGATTTTCTGTGTGAGTAAGCAGAACCGTGTCGTGTTGCTTAGTGCTCGGGTCTCTGCTGACCACAGGTCTCTCTAAATGAAAGGTGGACTCTGAACAACAAACTGCAGGGGCAGAAATGATTGAAAATAAGATGCTGACTGAAACTGTGACGTGTTTGGAGCTGTGATCAAACAGACTCACTGTTGGATAAACAAACTGTTTTTTGTGAGGGTTTTTTTTAGTTTCAAGCATGAAATACAAAGTTTTTTTGTCCTCATTGAATCAAACAAGAACACTGTCTGATCTTTAAAGAATAACTTACCCCAAAATTAACTTTTTTAGCTGATAAACTGCCTAGAATGTGTCTAAAATGTTATATAGTAC